TACACTACAATCATAAAGGTTTTCTATTTATCATAATTTGTTCCATCAGCTCTCTTCTTTTTCTAATTCAATACAATGTCGGATGATAAGATTGTTAAGCCTGAAAATAGGTCACTGGCTTCAGATGAGTGTGCCTTTTGCCATCAGAAGGATCATTAGAAGCATCACTGTCCCAAGAAAGAATGTATGTGTGCCTCGTCTTCTCAGCAGTCTCAGACCCAGTTTTGGCCTTCTCCTCCGAGTAATTTTCGAGCTCCCGCCGCTTATACTACATCCACTCCGATTCTTGATCCTGACTTGACTTCCTTGAGTGCTCCAATTGCTCAGCTTCAGCATATATTGTCTACCTTTCAACACTCCCCATCTGCCTCAGTTGTTTCCTCTCGTCATTCAGGTTTGCTTGGGTCTTCTTCAGGTATCTCTTCGTCTGTTTGGATTTTTGACTCCGGTGCCTCTCATCATTTGACTTCTCATCTCTCCTTACTCCAAAATTGTACTCCTCATCCCTTTCCTATTACTGTCAATGCTACTAATGGGTCTGGTATGTCTGTTATATCTATTGTCCTACTGTCTGCTATGTCTGTTGTATCTATTCCATCTGTCTTATATGTTCCTCAGTTATCTGTCAGTTTATTATCTATTAGTCAGCTTGATGCCTCCAATTTTCATGTTATCTTTTCTTTTTCTATTTGTTCTGTGCAGAATCGAATGTCCAAGCGGCAGATTGGGACTAGCCGTAGAATTGGAGACCTCTATGTGGTGGAGAGCTTGCATCTGCCTATGACTACCTCTCCGACTGCCTTTTTCTCTTTGCAATTAGATTCTCTGTCATGTCTTTTCTATTTGTGGCATTTCAAATTAGGACATTTGTTTGCTGACCGCCTACGGTCGTCAGCTCAGTCAGTTATATTGGGTAAAGTTCCATCCTAGTCAACTTAACGAGTGTCGGGGGTGTAAACTTACTAAAATGACAACCTGACCCTTCCGTAAAAGTACATCAATATCTGATACACTATTTTGTTTAGATCATACTGATGTCTGGGATTCTTCTCCTGTTCTCACTAAAGGGGATTCTGCATATTATGTGTCATTTGATAATGACTACACTCGTTACACTTAGGTTTATCTTATGACTCATAAGTCTGACTTTTACCAAATATACCATACTTTCCAATTCATGGTCACTACACAGTTTGGATCTACTATTATTACAGTCAGACTTGGGTGGGGAATATTTTGGCCAATTTAGATACCGTTTACCAAACTTCCTGTACTGATACAGCCGCCCAAAATGGTCACGCTGAATGTAAACATCATCATCTCCTTGAGACAGCTAGGTCTCTCAATTTCTCTGCCTCCGTTCTGGCTCTATTTTGGAGTAAGGCAATTCTTACTGCTGCTTTTCTTCTCAACCGCATGCCAACTCCCCTTCTTTCTGATCGGTCTCCTTATAAGACTCTATTTTCTTTACTTCCCAATTACTGTTTGGGTCTGCCGGCCTGCCTTGTGTCTTTTTGGGTTACAGTCTCTCTCAAAAAGTTTATCGTTGTTATGACCCTGTTTTCCGTAGCTAATATGTCTCCCATCATGTTGCCTTTCTTGAACGTCTATCTTACTTTTAACTTCCTCCTCTCACAGTCTTAGTTTACAAAGAAGATTTGGTTCATATTGATCTATTTCCTTCTGAGGTCCCTCCTGATGAGTACATCTCTGGTGTTCCCCATGAGATTGTTCCCTCTTCTCCTTGTCCCACCCCACCTAATGAGTCCCTCTCCCCTGACCCCAATGAGTCTGTTTCCTCTTCTACTCCTCGTCTTCCCCCACCTGCTCCTTCTCATCCTCATCCTCATCCTCATCCTCATCCTCTTCCTCCTCCTCCTCCTCCTCCTCCGTTGTTAGTCTATTCTCGTCGCAAGGCTTTTCCTCCACCAATTGTCTCTGCCCCTGCTATTGATCCCCCTACTTCTGACGACTCTAATCTTGCTAACCGTAATTATCCTCTTCGCATTCGTAAACACGTAGTCAAACTTGGTTTTGCTAAAACATGTTTTCCTCCTTCATACTGCACCTTTTCGCCTGATATTCACTCTTTTTCAGAACCCCAGTCTTACAAGGAGGCCTATCAAGATCCTAATTAGGTTCGAGCTATTGGGAGTTAGTTCCATTGCTTGCTGGCAAAAATCTGATTGGTTGCAAATGGGTCTATAAAGTCAAGACTAATTCTGATGGTTCTCTTAAGCGCTACAAAACTCGCCTTGTTGCTAGAAGTCTCTCCCAGAAGTATGGTATTGATTATAAGTAAACCTTTGCCCCTGTTGCCAAGATGACTATTATTCATACTTTGATTTCTGTTGCTACTGTTCGTCATTGGCCTCTCTATCAGATGGATGTTAAAAATGCTTTTCTTGATGACCATCTCACTGAAGAGGTTTACATGCTAAGAAGCACGGATACTCCGAAATGGTCCCCGTACGCGTATCGAATACGTATCGGATACAGATACGCATCCGATACACTGGGATATGTATCAGATACAGCAAAGAAGTATCCCATTTTTATTTTATTTTTTTGAATTTCGGATACGTTTGGGATACGCGAGGATACTTCAAACACGCTTGGGATACTTTCGGGATACGGCAGGGCGAAAAAATAATTTTGAAACTTATAATTGGGGTTAAAGTGTAAAATAACAAAGCTATATCTAAAATAAAACAGAAAAAATCAAACAAACCCTACCTAGATGAGTCATCGATCAACAACAAGAGAGACGTCGAACAGCAACAAGAGAGGAGTCGTCTCTGAATCGCGAACAGCAACAAGTCGCCGTCCTCATCCTTGTTGTCGATCAAGGTTCGTCTCTCTCTCTCTCTCTCTCTCTCTCTCTCTCTCTGCTTTGAGTTTTGAAAATGGAGGCATATTATAATGTTGTTAATGATTTTTTTCCCTGTTTGATTGAACCCTAATGAATGCTACAATTTGGTATTATAAAATTCTGTTACACGCATACAATGGTTTAAAGGTGTAAATAAATAAATGCTAGGTTTTGTTTATAGTTATAAATTGATTGGTAAAGAAGAAGTTGTTGCCCCTGTTTTTTTTTAATGGATTTTTTAGATTTTGTTTTTTATTTTTTGGTTTTTGTTGTGTCTCAGCCTAGCATGTTGATTTTTCTTGTCTTTGTAATGGGGAAGGTTTTTGCATGCAAGGTGTTTGTTTAGAGGGCTGAACAGTGTTTGCGAAAGGGTTTCAATCAATTCCTAGAATTACATTTTTAATTCCTCTCAATTTGTTAAAAGAATAAATCATCTTGATTTCGCACTTTGAAAGTTACTTTCTGGTGTACTCTTTTGCTTTAGGTTTTATTTGTATACATACTACATTACTAAAAATTATAAAAATTATATTTTTTACGAACGTATCCTAGCCGTACCCATATCCTAGTTTTTCACATTTTGCTGTATCACCGTATCCGTATCGTATCGTACCTGTATCGCGTATCTGTATCCATGCTTCCTAGTTTACATGTGTCCCCCCTCTAACCTTTCTCATTCCTCTGGAGAGGTTTGTGTTCTTCGGCGTATTTTGTATGGTTTGAAGCAAATCCCCTCGTGCTTGATATGATTGCTTTCAGGCCGTTGTCACTCAACTTGGGTTTCATCCTGGTGCTCAGGATTCTGCTCTGTTTCTCCTTCACACACTTGCTGGTTTTTGTTGCCCTGTTACTATATGTGGATGATATGATCATCACTGGCTCCGACTCTTCTACTATCCTTGAGGTTAAGCAGCATCTCTTCCGCACCTACGAAATGAAGGATCTGGGCCCCTTGAGGTATTTTCTTGGTATTGAGGTAGCTTCTTCTCCTAAAGGCTACTTTCTGTCTCAAGCTAAGTATGTAAATGAGGTTATTCACCATATCAGTCTTACTAACACTAAGATTTATGATACCCCCATTGAGCTTAATGTGAAACTTAACACTACTGATGATATCCCTTTGGATGATCGTACTTTATATCGAGAGCACGTGGGTTGCTTAGTCTATCTAATTGTCACCGGCCCTAATCTTACCTATGTTGTTCATGTGATTAGCCAGTTCATTTCTACTCCTTGTCCTACACATTAGGCTGCTTTGGTTCAGATTCTTCGCTATCTTCGAGATACTATATTCCAGGGCTTACTGTTGTCTTCTATTTCCTCTTTGGACTCGGTGGCTTATGCTGATTCTGATTGAGCTAGTGATATCACTGATTGCAAGTCCGCGTCTGATTTCTGTATTTCTTAGCGATTCATTGATCTCTTGGAAAAGCAAGTAACAGACTGTTGTTGCTGCTCTACTGTCGAAGCTAAGTACCATGTTATAGCTTATGCTACTGCTGAAATTGTCTGGCTTCGTTTTCTTCTATCTGATTTGAGTGTACCTCAGTCTTCTCCGACCTCTCTATTGAGACAACCGCAGTGCTACTCAAATTGCCCGTAACATTGTCTTCATGTGCAGACAAAGCATATTGAAATTGATTGTCATTTTGTCTGTTAGCATCTACAGTCTGCCTCTATTTCACTTCCTTTCGTCTCTTTGGCTATGCAACTTCCTGACTTCCTCACCAAGACTCACACTACTACTCGGTTTCGGTTTTTTCTTGGCAAACTCTTAATGTTTTCTACTAAAACACCTTGAGTTTAAGCAGGGGTGTGAGAATATTAGATTTTATATATATATGGTAATATATATATTTTGTATATATTATGAATTGAGTAAATAATTCATGTTGCTTTTTTCGTTTTAAGGTTAGATTGTTATATAAACCAATGTATTCTTGTATTACATACACAATTGAATATACATATTCAGAAAACTTACAACAATAGAAAATTTAGCACCTGCATACATAGCAATAGAGAAAAATACTTGAACAACAAAATAGTTTTTTTAAAACATAGAGATGTTGCCAATCCCAAAAAAAAAACATAGAGCTGTTGAGTTGATAAAATCAAGAATTTTAACCTTGAGGACTGGACTAGAACCCGTTCTTGCATCCCATAGTATAAGGCAAGAATCATCACCAACGCTACAGAACTCCTGTGCACTTCAGCACAAAAGAGTACAAATTTAGCAAAGCGCACAACAGAAATAACATCATATTGAAGTTACTGCTACAAGGAGAATAGATTCAGCAGATAGGGAAAAACTTCATCAGTCCCTTCCTAGAATGTCCCCAGAAGGGGCAATATTTTGGAATGACTTGATGGGAGTGAAAAATACATCGACGTGTGTAAGAATTTATGTATTATTGATTTATTGATTGATGTATTATAAGATTCCTATACAATCTATATATAGAAGAAAATGTGGTAGTAGGTGTAGTGGAGGTGATAGTGGGTTAGGTGAAGTGGAGTGTGTAGTGGAGTAGGTGAAGGTAAAGATGGGAAATTCTAACAACGTGTCTAATCTCCAGTTAAAGTATATCTTACAAAAGGGACGGCACTAATATCCATAAACATGTAATTACTTATCTAAACATTAATGCTGCAGTTGTCTAAAATAATGCCACCTACCTTGAAGGGCAGAACTGAACATCTTCAACAGTCTCTCCATGCCCTTGATAGGTACCTCGTGGTCCAATAGTAGGGCTGTCTACAGGTTTATCAGTGCCCCCACCAGCCTTTGCTGCATTCTTTGTGCTGGCACCCCCAGATCCTGGAGACTTTGCAGAGACTGGATCTGATGCCAAAGAGGAGATGTGATCTTGAATGCCCCACAAAACCACCAATTTGTCTTTCCCTGCCATGAAAAACAAAAATAAAAATTATTAGAAATATATCAGAAAGGAAAATTCTATCAGTAATCCTACAAGGACATGAGCATCAGTTTATTTTAGGAGAAAGCAGAGATAAAGAGGATGAAATTCCCAAAAAAAAAAAAAGGGTAAGCTACAAGACAAGAATAGCATTGTGAATAGAACAATATGAATAGCATTATAATATTGCATAAGTTACAGCATTATAATTTTCCATCATAAGTGGCAAGAAGTTCACAAAGTCATGAAAGGTAACCTAAAATTTGCACTTTAAAAACAGAAAAGTAATATAAATCTAACAAATATGATAGCATGGTTTTGGGAATCGGATGATACCACTGCGAGACAAGCTCAATGACTATCAATACAAAAATTCCATTACAATTTACAATCTAGTAACAACTGATCAACAGTAATTTGACTATAAAGCCTTCATAAATCCACTTTTTTCCCTTTGTTTTCTAATGTTGGAAACATCTTGAGCTAGGTGTACACATTCTACTAAAGATAAAAATAAGATCACGATTTTGGAACGTGAGATGAAGTTTTAGAATTGTCATTGAGTCATATACACTTTAAAGTTGCCACACCATATGTTTCCCGCCCCGAGGAAGACTGTTATCATGATAAACTCTTGTTAGTTTTCAAACGAGTGTGTTTGGAAAAATCTCATTAATTCCATCTTTAATTACAAAAAAAAATTAGAAGTCCATGGGTAAACCAAGAACAAATTTCATATGATGACATGTTTTATAATCAATCTGTGACAACAACAATACAAAAATCAATAGCATATGCAATACACAATCCATTTTATTCAGGTGGAAACAAAAGTTACATAGGAAAAAAATATATATTAAATGCAAAGAAAAAATTATATAAAAAAAAAGAGAAGGGAGATAATAAGAACATCAATAAGATATTAGTGCAACAAGGTGTTCAACTCTAGCATGTACCAGGAAAAATCATGATGACAATAAACTAGCCAAAAATTTCACCCAGTAGAATCATACAAGAAGTCATCAACTCATCCTCAATGACCAAATTTTTAGTTCTACAAAACCTATGAAAATCAGCTTTCACACAATAATATAATATATTCTCAAATACATCAACAAAAGTAATTTGACTTATCAAATTACATTTAATAACAAAACTTGGGAATACGATTATTGCTTGAAAAGACAAGTAAAGACATACAATTTTACAATTTTCCACTATCTGTTTTCGTTTCTAAATGCAATGCATGATAAATTCATTACTTTTGTTAATACATCCTTTCAATATAGGTAACCAAACAATTATACAACCACTGTCATTGATTACCCACATAGAGCATACATCCACGTATAGCAGTAATTTGAATTGAACAGTGGGGTCAATTTCTAAACTCTCCCAAGATTTGGCATATTTTTACACAAGTTATTTCCTTTCCTGTCTTTTCTTTTTTAAATTCCAGTAAAGTCAATTGAACCCACTTAAACGTACATAGCTCTGCCCTTGCAATAAACTGTACGTGTTATTATCATAAAGCTACTTTGCCTCACCAAATGTATATCATTGTATCAACTAAAACATAAGCCTAGCTTAATCAGGTGTTATGTCACAAAAAGAATGTGAAAGTCCACATGGGACAATAATCAAATATGAGTTTCAACCTCCAGAGAGCACAAAAGGTTCAGTAGGGCACATGGCAAGAGCGAATTCTGCATTGTCCTGATGCCCAGTCAGTATCTGCCAGATGATGAGCACAAAATTATAAGATAGCCTATATAAAGAAGAAAGCTTATCAAATAACAAAGCTACATATATTTACATTTCACGTCAAATTTAACTTGTAAGTCTTAAAGTTCAAAAAAAGATCTTGTAACAGCTAATAATGCAAAACGCATTTATGAACACATGAACTTTACTTTTCCAAATACATCTAATAAGGCCTTAGTGTAGGGGGTCCAAAATGAACAGTAATAATAATATCACTTAAAAGAGGCAAAACTATTTTAATGAGTCAATAATCTGGGAATGTTGGAGACTGAGTAGCCAGGTGAGGGTAGAGCAAGTAATCCAGGGAAAGGATGTGACAGTGCAAAATGGGCAGCATTTCCCCCTAAATCCCAAGAAGTTCTTCTTTGGACCTTGGGAAATGAGTCCTATTTATAAGCTTTTCTTTGGTACCAAAATATACTAAGTGGCCAAATAGTGCACCAACACATGTCGCAAGCTATTCTGTCCTAAACCACTAGGCCTTGGTAGACATGTGTCCCTTCACATGTACTATCTATTTGGCACAAAACCTCAGCAAGTGCCACCGTACTATCTATTTGGCACAAGCCTCAGCATATACCTTTTTAGTACAAACATCAGCAAGTGTCATTGTTGCTACGGCACCTGCCTTCTTAGTTCAATTTCCCAAGACATGCATTCTCAAGGCTTATGACCTGCTATCAACCACACTTGTGTCGAGCTCAACGACTCCTCCACCCTTAGCCACTTAACCACAAACTCAACTTCTCAAGACGCAAGCCACAGCATAGGTTGTGCCTCGTACCAAGCCCAAGGGGCTCCATTAGTCCTGCTTGTGCAACCAACGCAGGTCCTTGACCTAGGTAAATGAAAAGAGAACCAGTAAGTGTTGGTGTCTGCTATCGACCCCAAGCTATACGTGCTTCGAACCTGCTATCAACCTTACTGCCTTGGGGCCTGCTATCAGCTTCAAGCTTCTATACATTACTTCGTATAGAGGAGATCTCCCTCAAAGGCTGTTGTCACCTCAGGGAATTGCGCCTCAAGAGATAGTTGCGGAGGTTGGAGTTCCTTCGACTCTCTTCTCCTTAGTAAGTGTCAAAGGCGGCACCGTAATAAAATGGCGGCTCTGAGATGGAGTTTGCCTCAGCAACTGGGCCTCGACAAGTAGTGCCTCAGCGAGTTCCCTTAAACGCCAAAGGTCCAGTCTTAGATGACAAGGGGAATGCGGTGGTAAGGGAAGTGAACAACTCCTTTCCGCATATCGCTCGGTGGTCTGAGGTCGGCTATAACAAGCGCTTCTTAGACTACATTGATTTTGTTGAGGAATTTGTTTTCCGCCGTTATACCCAAAACTTCACCAGTATTTCAGTTGTCCCCTTTTATTTTCCTAAGGCTCGCTATGTTGACTTCATTGTCCCCGATATTCAGAGCAACTCCCTCCTTGTAGCGACAATGGTGTGCCCAGGTTACCACCCCATTTGGTACAAGGAAGGGATGTCAAGTGTGGTATACCGGCCTGACAGACTCCTTAGGTAGTTTGGCATGGACCAAGGCATTCCCAGTGGCCCTCCTCCTATCCAAGACTATCATTCGAGTTTCCCACAATTCCTCTGTGACCATACCGATCACCCTCAGCAACCAATTGTTTTGGACACAACTTGGATTCTTTCCACAACTTTTGTAACAATACCCCTGTAGTCCCAGTCGTTGAATGTATCCCCCCCAAAGAGATCTATCCTTACACATGCCCTCTTCCCATGGCCGTCAGACCAGCCTATACTCTCGTTTCAAACTTTTGGCCCAATACCTCCAGCAGAACCTAACCCGCCGAAGATTGCGACTGCTTAGCCTAGTCAACACGATCACCCTGTTCCTAGTGCCCTAGCCCGTATGATTTGCTCCCAAGTCAAGGCAGCTCAAGAGGCAATAGCGGCCATCCCCTTGGCTTGTGCCCTGCCATCCAAGAAAAGGCTACGCAAGGTACTCAACAAGATCTTTGTTCCATATTCCCTTCCAATTCATTTTTTCATAGGTAAATGACAGTTTGACCCCCTGTGGTTTACCGAAAAAACACTGAGGCCCTTGTAATTTCATTTGTAACACTTACACCTAGACTTCATACTATGTTACCGAAAAAACACTGACGGAACCGTTTGTTTCAACAAAGCGTGTGTTGCACGACCATCACTTTCCCTCCAACCATACATCATCATCATCATCATCATCATCATCATCATCTCTCTCTCTCTCTCTCTCTCTCTCCATGGCACCAAAAATACATCAACCCAACAAAGCAACAGCAATAGCTTCATATATTCTTCTTTTCCCTTCATGTCACCAGGCCACCAAATCCCCATGATAGACCTAGCCAAGCGCATCTCCTCTTACGGCGTCACCACCTCCATCCTCACCACCCCCCTCAACCTCTCTCGCTTCCACTCCTCTATCCACCACCACAACCTCATAATTTCCTCCCCTATCAACCTTCCTCTCCTCTACTTCCCCTTCACCACCACCACCAACACCAAAAACCTCAAATCACCTTCCCTAGACGCCCTAGATCGCTTGAAAATACATCCCACGAATCACCTTCTTTGCTACATCTTGCTTCTTTCTCTGCATCACAGACAGTATCACCAAATTCAAGCCAAACGAGTTTGTAACCCATAACTTTCAACCCTTCTTAGTCTCGGGTCTACCCGATGCAGTTCATATTACGAGGTCTTAGGTGCTGGGCCAGTTCTTCTGCGACATGGGTTTGCAACAATTCTTTGCCCAAATCATCGAAGCAGAGCGAGACAGCTATGGAGTTGTAGACAACACTTTTTGCCAAATCAAAAGAGAGTATAAGACAGAAGATAAAGACAGACCGCTCATTTACATTTTTACTGCTCTGTTTTGGTTGAAAACTAAGAATCATTTGGTTTAATTCATAGTCAATTGTGTGTTGAAAATAATTTCTAAAGATTACTGTTCTATTTTGAGCAGAAATTTCGTAAATAAATTTAATTTTTGGGTTAACTTTATTTGAGTGAAAAGAATGATAGAAATAGATTTTAGAAGAACAATGAAACAAAAATGACAAGTAAAGATAGAGAAATTAGGGAGATAAGCTAGAGAAAGAAGTATTTTAGAGAGAGACCGCCGTCTCTGATTTTCAAAAAATTAGGAAGAAGAACATTAGGAATTACCCAATGTGGTTGACTATTTTGGGAAAAATTTTGGTTTTATGGTTGTGCAACACACGCTCTGCTGAAATAAATGGTTCTGCCAAAAATTACAATGTGGTCTGAAGTCCAAAGGGGTTTAAGTGTCACAAATGAAACTACAAAGGGGCTCCATGTTTTTTGGGTAAACCACAAGGGGTTAAACTGTTATTTACCCTTTTTTCATTCATAATTTTTTTTTTTTTTTTTTTTGTTGGCATGGTTTGCTATTGGCGTTCTAATATGTTTACTCTTCCTCTTGGAGCTTTCTTATCTTTACCAGTAGTGTTTTTTCAAACATTCCCCCTTCAAGCCTGGAAGTCCCTCGATTGCTCCTGGCCCATCCTCTAGTTTTGATGAAGAGGAACCCAATCATACCATTCCCCCTAGACCAAAGACCCACTGGTTGATCCTTTCGGACTCTGAGGATGATCCTGTTGAGGAGGCCCCTGCCTCAAAAAATAAAGGAGATGATGACTTTCTCGCAGAGAAAGATGATGATGATAACCATTAGAAAATGGATACTGGCGTCCAAGTTGAAAACGAGGAGGTCATTGCTAATGTTATCCCAGAGACTGTTGTTTTGGAACCTCCCCCAGTCTTGTACTTGCTCCAGACCCAACTGTCCACTCCGATCGTTCTTCTGTTGGTGGAGAAGATTATACACCAGAGACCCCTAGAGATCCTGCGATGAATGTGTCCCTTGGTCTTGAGTTGCCCCATGTAGAGGTTGTTTCGGAGGACTCCTCTCATTCTGCTAAATCTTCTTTAATCCGTAGGCCTCTCCTGTTGCTAGAGCACAAGTGGCAAAAGGTTAAGTTGACAAGGCCCAGCTCACTGGGGCCCAAGGTTCAAAGACTCAGGTTGTTGGCAAAGGAAAAAACATGGTCATTGATCTCAGCATGGCACCTCCTGGTTTCTCTCACCTTGCGAAGGTAGCTACTAACTTGGTTTCTATGGTCGATCATGTTATCGCTGCTATCGCTAGAACTTCTGAACCTGTCACCTCAGTTTCTTCAAATCAACTTACCCATCTGGATCTAACTTATTTCCCTGAGATCCCCACCGAGCTTGGGAGGTCATGTGACTTCTACACAGGGATGGATAACACCATTGTCCTTGATTTAAATGTTGGGGACTACTCTGTTGACAACTTGGTTGTGCCTTAACCAGAGATTAGTAAGGCTTCTAGTCTTGCCTTATCCTGCAAGAAAAGTTCTCCTAGCCATCTTCATGTATCTACCCATTCCAATGTCGCCGCTAACGCTAGTCGACAATCTTTTCTGGGGAAGTTCGTCAACTACAAGCATTTGACCGCTCTACAAGCCTTCCTCTTGTAACTCGTACTGTTGGTCTCATGGCGTCGTCCCCTCGGCCTAATTCAAGGGTTCCTTTTTTGAACTATTGGGAATCTGCTGAGGTTGCCCCCATACTTGTGCATGTCCAAGCCTTGCATCTTGAGACATTCACAGCCTTCAACATCCCAGGCACCATGGTTTAGTCAGCCCTATTAGAGTCTCTTGCAGGTTTCATCCGGGATCTGGCCGACAAGGCAATTTTAACGACTTAGGGAAAGTTTATAAAGGGTGCTGAGGGAAATCCTTAGTAGCAAGAATCACTGAAGTTGCTCGCGAATCAGCCAAAGAATTGCGATTCTGCACTTCTAAGGAAGAATTAGAGAAGAATCGCGAGTCTAATGCTAGAGAAACGCGAATATAAGAAGAGAAGGAATTTATCTAGATCTATCATCCTCACCCTCAACCTCAATTTCTCTGTCTTCTC